TTTTCCTGCAGCTCTTTCGTTCATTCTTTGTTCATGATATTCAAGCGTCCCTTGAAGCTCTTCCTTTGTAAATTTCGACAAGTCTTTCCCCTATTCTATCACCATCACTATGTGGTCGAACTTAGGAGCTAAAGATCTCAAGATCTTCGACACAACAGCTCTTGTTATTAACATTTCTCCACATATCTTGATTTGACTTACTAGTTTTGTAACTCTAGTGAATAAATTAGATATGCTTTCACTGTCTTCCATCTAAAGCAGTTCATAGGTCCTTTTGTGAGTTTGTAACCTCACTTCTTTCACTTTCTCAACGCCTCCAAAAGACTTCTCAAGGATTTCCCAAGCTTCTTTTGCAGATTCTGAATCACTAATCTTTTCGAAATTGACTGGGCTGACACATTGATGAATTATAAATAATGCTTTATAACCCAGCTTCTCAGATTCTATGTATTTCTTCTTTTCTTCTTCTGAAGCGTTTTCTCCAAGCGCTTCGACTCCATCTTTTACAAGGTCCCAAAGACCTTGACACCCGAATAAGACTTTCATCTGTTTGCACCAATTCTCATAGTTATCAACTTTCAGAATTGGTAGGGTTGTTGGATAATTTGCATTCCCATAACTTGTCATCGTGAATTCTTCAATCGTTCTTGATTGATACTTCCCTTGAATCGAAACAAAGCTCTGATACCAGATGTTGGAAATCCACCAAAGTCTATGATGAATTTCTACCATAATGACAATTTAATTATGAGACAAACAAAGAAAAGAAGACAAGACAAATAATTTATGCAGAGTTTCTCTCTGCTCACAAACTGTGAAAACTTTCTTATTCACTTTACAACTGCAAAATAATGTGAATGACTTGCTTGACTTGCTTACAAAAATAGGGGTTACTCCCTCTATTTATAACTGAGCTTACACCCTAAGTTCAAAACCCAAAATATATTTTTGTTACTAAATCAAATCTAAATTATTTTAGACTTAAATCAAATATATTTAAATCTAAAACAAATCAAATCTTTTCGACACATAGTTTTGACACATTGGATTACAATTTAATAGAAACCACTTTAAAGAGAGTTATCTATACACGCCGGGAAAATGGCATGTCTGAAATCAACATTATTGTTATGTAGGAATATCCAGATTGAAAATGATAGACTGAAAGGCGCTTCTCCATATGAGTGATAACAAAGGAATAATTTCGTAAAATTTCAATGTAAAATTATGTAAACATGATCATTCAAAAGATACACACAGATGTAGGAAATTGTGTGTCAACATTAAGTCAGCACAACTTAATGGCACACAAGTCTAAATTTACAAATCCAATTCGAAAAGGCAAACACTTTTAAAAAACAAACAACGATATTAATTGTACGCATATTCAAACTAACTGGAACAAAGAGACACAACAAAATACATCAGCGACTAATCATTCTTTCCAGCTTGATTGTCTTCCTAAGCTTGTTAGAATATAATTGTCCATCACATAATTCCTCCGAGGTTGCTGATTCACTTGACCCCCCAGGAAAGTCTCTTTTACCAATAAGCATCGTTGGATCCAGATTATGTTTAGAGGTGATCTCGAGATCCTGTTACACATTAAGTCAAACAATAGATTTTATTTCACACCATTCAGATAAAACAAACTTATGCAGAAACAGAGAGGGAGTCACCAATTACTGTTTCCTTTTCACAATCTTCAGGCGCACCCGTTTTGGCCTCATCGACACTCTCCTTAACCTAAGCACAATATAACAGTAACCATTATATGTAATACAAGCATATAACAACAATTATAATATAACATGTGAATAATGAAAAACTGAAATAGGGTAAGTACTTGCAGAGGATCAGATGTTATGGAGGGGCCAACAACAACTTACTTATCCTGGAAAACAAAGCATCGTTAGAAAAGCTGTGTAATACCCAAATAATCAAACAACCTAAAATACCAGAAACCTGTTAAAAAGATTAAACCTCGTCTATGTCCCATGGAGCCTTAAGCTGCCTGATAAAAGGCTCATCCCTAAGGATACTCACAACAGAGCAATTGTTCCATCGCGGCTGTCACTTCACCTTAAATGCCATCTTCAAATTCAGCAACTGATCCAGTGCCGATGGGAATTCCAATGGATCATCAATTCCAGCCTATACAACAAATCTCAACAATGAGTACCAAAACACTACAAAAATGCATATACTAAGGGGTGGGGAATAAGGCACCAAATCTTGATTATAGTATGACATAGTTGGGCAGCGGATAAACCCAAAAGAAGCTCACATTCTCTATTCTAAAACACAAAGTTACAACTGCTGCCCTCATAGAAAATACGAATCTCTATCTTGTACCTACAATGCCATAATTAACGAATATAAAAAATACAATGACATAAATACACAAAAATAGCTTTCGCGGCCACTACATATACTAAAGGATTCTTAATAAGACCTGTAGATCTTAACCTCAGTTGAATGACCAGCATCACAATCAAACGGAGGAGTGTCACCACGTGCAATGCAAGGACACAAATGGCAGGCACAGTAACACCATCCAAACGGAGATGCAACCAGAATCCTTGTTTAGCAACAGTGGCACAAAATGTAATCTGCATCAATAGGCCATGTCATTAATCACAAACTATAAAAAAGAAAAAAGAAGTGACCAACTGTATAGGAAAAAAACAACAACAGTAAACGAACTGTATCATACATCAGAGTTTGATTATTTCACCAAGAGGCAAACCAATAACACTTGAGAGTAACCTCTAAGTAGGGTTGAGTTATGTTTTTTAGAATTCTGGGATGATAGATGTGAACCTGGACCCATCTTCCCGGAGACAGCAACGATAAACTCCTTAGGCATGCTGCATGAATAAGTGAATTAAAAAATTCTCATACAACATCACCAGAATTCCAACCCATCAACGAATACCAATGAAGTCGTACAGAGAATATACCCATCAATGAAATCTTTGATCAGAGGAAAAGCAGAGTCGAGGCAGATCAACGTGACATTGTATATGTTTGTGACCGACAGTGGAAACTTCCTTACGCAAACAAAGTCACGAGGTAAGTGTTAGTGGTAAAAAATAAGAAGTCCTATAATAACAGAATTAACCACGCCGTTACCCTCTTGTTTGACATTTGCATACTGCAGCAACAACACAGTTAGGCCATATGTATTGTCACGATCCTGTGTGAATTTGATAAAATGTTCGACATACGATTCCCAAAGAGTACAATTCACAATGTTGTTGCTAAACAATGAATACACAGAAGCCGCTCAACAAAGGAACCTTAAGATGCATTCACATGATATATGAGATAATAACAAAGCCGAAAGCGCTGGATTATATACCTCTGGTCCCTTAACATCATATTAACTTGCTGTTTTTTTGAACGCGACTGCGTCTGAAATACCCAATACTCTCAACCATTCCAATCACGTCTTGCCAAAAAACGAACAAACACCCGCATAAGAAAAAGAAATACAAGCATGCTATAGAAAAAAACAGTATATTGAATTCAATTAAACGAACATAATATAAAATAAAATGTTAGATATTTTTTTAGCTATAAGGACATCCCTGTTATAATTACCACTGATTATATCGAAAAAACCAATAAATACCAGCAATTTCGCAGGGATGTCGTGTTTGTTATCATCCCCAGCAGACGTTCCTCCGGTAAACTTGAGCATAAACCTGTGAGCCGAAGGTCTAAAAGACGAAACATTCGGCTGAACCTTAAAGTTTGACACAATATAAGTATGGCCCAACAACAATTTTTCATCAAAAACCGACTTATGTGTCGCAGGGACAATAACATGTATATCATCGCCCTGCAATGCACACAAAAATAACATAATTTCAGAAAACAAACAATTCAATGCGCGTGGTATAGAAAATCTGCCACAACAACAGAAAATGCAAACAAAATTGTGCGAAAAACAGAACAGATGCAGAACCACCATGAAACTGCCCGAAGCAGAGGATTAATATTTTACCGTTTTATCGACAAAAATCATTTCAAAATGCTCCTTGTTATTAATCAGAACATTCCACCAATGATGAACCCTGATTGCAACCTTCCACAACTCTTTACCGTCATTGATGTCGCATATAGCTTCAATTGGCCGTGCCATGATAAATCGATAGGAGACAGAAAACTGATAGGAGGGAGAAGAGGAAAAAATGCTAGGGTTTGAGGGAGGAGAAGCTGTAACAGAAAGTGAGAATGAAAAATTATATTGAATAACAACCATGATGATTTTGTAACGGTTGAACAACAGTTACATAATTCACAATGAATATGAAAAGTTGGAGAAAGAGAGAAACGATACGTACAACAAGGAGAGAGATTAGACAAGAAAAAATAAAATATAGAATAGAGTGCAAAAAGGATATCCATGTGATATGATATTGAAATAAAAAGACTAAATTGAAACTTTAGATAGATTGAATTTCGTTTTATAATAGATAATGTAAATTGTAAAAATCAAATAAAATTAAAATCAGAAAGAAAATTCCAAAATGGCTCACAAGGAATATACTATACTATACCTCATAGTGATAAATAACTGATACTAGTATTTTCGTCGGTGAATTATTTGAATAACACGGCGTCGTAGAGGCTGAATTACCGCGCATATAAAACTTGAATAACAAACCCAATTATCGTAAAGCGCACGCCTCACTAACGTGCGCACCCTTTACGTACCCCAAACCCTATTTAAACCTAACTTCACACAATCCACGATCAACTTTGTCTCCTTTTCTTTCTCTCTCTAAAAAAAGTCGCATCACGATTCACGAACCTTCTCAGAAACCCCCATTGATTCTTCACGAAATTGCTACAGTTAATCTCTTCGGAGAATGCGATTCATCGCGCTGCTTTTCAATATCGAGAATCGGCGCTGGAGATATTTGGTTTGCGGAAACGGTTTGGATAATTAGGGTTTCGATTCGATTTAGCTTGGTGGGTTGTTGGTGACTATGGCGGATGATAAATTTCAATTTCCGACACTGTTTGGGGAGGATGGAGAGGACTCCGATGATGAAAAGCTGGTGATGGATATCGAGTCCTTTCTCAGCGTTCTTGATGAAGATTGTGTTCCTTCTGAGGTACGGTTACTGGACTTGGTTGTTTTGGTTTTTGTGCTTGATTTGAGTGTGTGAAGAAAACCCTAACCTCGTCAATTTTTTCAAATGCTGTGAATGGAGGTTACTAGAGTTCCGATTTGGGTTTAGAATTCATATATACGCTTTGATTGCCGTTGCATGCCTGTTTTTTCTTTGATTATATAGGATGGTTGGATTTATTCATGTCAGGTTATGTAGATACTGAATAAGCAGCTTTGAAGCGGTTTAGGGTCTGTTTGGATGGAGGACTTATTTGAGCTTGCTTACTGCCATAAGTTTTATGACACTGTTTGGGAGACTTAAAACAAAACAACTTATAACATTTTTCATAAATTTTTTTTGAACTTATTTTTATATATTCTTCAAGATAGGTAATGAAAACAACTTATAACATATATACAACCAATTTAAAGTTATTTAATCTTTTGTTATAAAAATAGCTTATGCGAGGTTTTTCATAAGCGCTTATTTTGATAAGCACTTGTGGTATAAGTTGCAAAAAAGCTGTTTATCCAAATAGGCCCTTAGTGTAGTAGAAAAAGAATGCCATTTGTTTATAAGACTTTTAGTGAGAACTCCCTTTTAAAAGAGTGCAATTTGTCGAAATTCAGATGATTGCTGCTCTCTAATGAACAAATTCTGATAAAATTGGAGGAAGGTGGCGAGGGTTTTAAAATCCCCATCCCTATAGCCTTCTTTGATATTTGAAAGATGAAAAATTCCTTGAAATTACTGCTGCTGGTTTGTATGTATTCATCTTTTCACCATTTACATGAAGAAATAAATTTATTTTTCCTGTACTTTTGATCTTTAGTTCTTTATTGTAATGTAGAAGGGCGATTGATATAATTTTTACTATGTGGTGTCGCTTCACTCATATTTGGAGTTAAATTCGGAGGTGCTGAATAGATTGTCAGTGGTGATTCTCTTGGGGCATTTTTTAGTTAAATTCTGAGTGCCGAATAGGTTGTTAGTTTTGATTTACTTAGGTGGGGAAGTCACAGCTTATGCTACTTTATGTTTCTCTTAAACAATATACCGTTCCTGTTGATATTCTTTGTATTTTTTGTTTGAACACGTCTTAAGGATTTTCAATTTGATTGGCCAAATTCATGTGTATCTCACCAATTATAATAATTTTCTGGATATAATGCTGCAGAGTAGTCACGAGGATTATTCATTGAAAGACGTTTCGCCTGGTGAATCTGGGACCCATGATAATTTTTTACTTCAAAATGGTATGTAAATTTGGGTGGCCTTTTTTGTGGTCATTGATTCTTGTCCTTGTTGGTTGTAATTGGTCTGATTAATTTGTGGAATAGGAATTTTCTTGAGTTTATTTTTACTTTCTGAATTTGGTATATATACGTACTAGTAGTTGCTAATATTTTAGAGTAGATTGTTATTGCCTAGAGGCTCTCAAGTGATTGAATGACCACTTTTTCCTAGCTTTTACTTTAGTAGATTTAGTCAGGCTTTTCTAAATTCTGCCAAGATGAATAAGATTCTGGGACGTAGGGCTCAACTCTTTCATCTGATTCTGCAGGGAATTCTTCCATGCTTGACTACGAACATGAAAACCGAGGACCTTCATCAGAGACCTGCTATTCCCCAAATGCTTTTGCTGGTGGTTACAGGGACTCATTCTCTGTTGTTGAAAGTGATGAAACTTGCTATGTAGAAAGGGCAGGAGTTTCTGAACGCGAGATGCCTTTTTACAGTACAGACACAAGTTTTGCTGAAGCAAATTCAAATGCTGTAACTGTTTGTAGAGATAATTTGAACTCGAGTCTGTGGAAGGGTCACAATACTAGCCAAATCAAGCATGTGGCAGATGATGTAGAATCTGAATGTATGCGAAATCTTCTGGGTTATCATTAGAATAAGATATTGGCATTTCCATCATTCTTTCAAAAGCTTCATATCTTTGTCATCTGAATTATGCCACCAGTCTGATATTTTTTTTCTGCTTGCAGATGCTTCTCACAGCTCTATCATTGAGAATGTTGATGGAACTTTTGCAAATTATGGAACGGCTTTGAAAGACATTATTGGAGTTTCTAGGCAGCAGGAAAATGACTCATGTACTACTTCTGAAATGCCATTTGTGGATGTTGACATGCCTACACATTTTGGAACTTCAACTGATTCTACTTTTTGTCAAGGTTCCGATGCTCCTAGTGATTTTAGTGGCTACTATCCATCTTTGAATTGTTACCAGGGTATAGATGTTAGACCTGTTGTGACTGACAGTTCTGCTTATTTGCCTAACGGTGTTTGTCCTGAATTCTGGAAAAATGAAGAGACAACAATGAACATGAAGGTTGAAAAAATGGAGTTCTTAACTGATTCTGCAAATATGATTGGCGGCTTGCATTTCAATACGGTTGGTCCGGTCCCTTTTCAGGACAGGCAATTTATGCCAACAGATAGTGAATATCCTTCATTTTTTCCTGGTAATGTTATATTTGAAGACAGTGAATCGGTGCAACAGTCATCTTGTGCTCCATATATTTCTTGTGAAGGCCAGTCATTTAATGTCAAAGCTGAAGGAGATGAAATGGGTATGCCTTTCCAAAATACTTTTCACAATGACCATGCCGAGTTAAATGCTGGTCTTGGGGTGAAACAATTACCTGGTATTTTCCCTACCATTGAATGTCAGAATTATGATTTTTTGAAGGATGAAGATAGTGACACAATCGTAAAATCCGAGGATAGCAATTATTATCAAGATCTTATCGATGAAACTGCTAAACGTTTTCCAGGAAATACGGGAAATTTGAATTTCAGATCCTTAGACAAATCTCTTTCTATTGCCCGGGCATCAATTACCAACGGGAAGCATTATAACTGTGGTATGAGCGAACTAGAGAGTAAACCAAGCGAATATAAAAGTATTGATGATTCACAACTTTCCAGAAGTACTGAGGGATCCAATGACGAAGATGACTGCGATGTTTGCATTATTGAAGACATCAGTCACCCTGCACCTACAAGTCGATCTGCTGAACTATATAATTCTCTTAATATGTCACAATCTTCTAGATTTGACTATACTAAACCCCATATGGCGGGAAACACAAGACCCAAGCCACACGACGAGCAGTACATATTACGAGTTGCATTGCAGGTTGGCACTTTTACTTTGGCAATTACTAGAGTGGTCTTTTCACATGTACAGCACGACTTATTTTCCCCCTGTCTTTGGTCATGATGTCAGATCATTATGTTCTCATTGATAATTGTTATTGCCCTCTTAGGAATACAAATTGATAGAATTTGGTGGAGCATAATGCAAGTGTGATTTTAAATGTTATCTCATTTGCTGTGTTCTTTTTTGGTATTTTTTTTTGTACAATAAGAAAAGAAAACTTGGTTACAAAATAGAAGAGCTTGTAGTGGAGAAGTTGGATTTTTCATGCATGTAGCTTATTATCATCACTATCACTATCATTCCAAAACCAATCATTCCTTCCTAGAACTCAGAAGATTGCATATCAAGGGATGAGTGATTCCAAATGGTTGTGCGGTGCTCTGAAAAAATGAAACAGAAGATGATTTAGTCGATGAATTAGGGTTATACAAGTAAAAACGTTATGGTATATTATTACTCCATTTTTTAAACTATCTTTTTGAAATTGTAATTGGAACTAATTTTTTAAAATATTGAGACTAACTATAATCTTTGTTACTATGATTTATATTTATCTATAATTGAACACTATATTCATTTATTTATTTACTATCTGGTTCAACTTTTGGTCCGGTTTTTAAAACATCGGTTTTTCCCACTTTCTTACCTAAATTTAAACTTGTTAGCATGATTTGTCGGACGGATTATAATATATTTGTTTACCATGGCTATGTCTGAAAGTGAACTAACTTTATAGTTGATTGCAGGATCTGTCTCAGCCAAAGTCAGAAGTTAGTCCCCCAGATGGGCTGTTGGCAGTTCCTCTTTTACGTCACCAGGTTACTTTACAAATTCATTCTTTTAAATATTTTTGTAGCCATTTAAAAAAATGTTATTATAGGTGCATTTATGTCTCCCATACCAGTAGAGCTGCTTTCAAATGAAAACAAATGGTAATGTGGGTTTTATGGTCTGGATATGGGATTTTCTAATCAAGCCGGAAATGGATGATTTTTTACGATTAATTCATCTTATTAATGAATGAATTGTATCAATGATTGGAACTATGTTAAAGAAAATAGGGACAATTTCCAATTACAGATATCAGAGTCACGGGTTACTTGCTTGCACACTCAATGAATTAGAAAACACAAGATAGACATATTGCAGTGCCTTTTATGGGTCTGCTTCTTCTCTGCCCTAACCTCCAAATTCTTACTGACAGCTGTATACGATCTCTCCCTCATTCTCTTTGCCTTACACACCCTTACCACCCCTACCTGCTACGTTTGCAGGGAAGTACTATTTAGATTCCTATCTTGACCCTTGGTCACTGCATCAATTGCTGCTTTAGTAACTGAGTAACCATATGAGCCTAGGAACCAATAGTTAGTGGTGTTCTGGTTTTGTTTATGGTTCTGACCTCTGTTAATTTTAGACACCTTTGTTTTTGAAGATAGGAGATATCAATCACAGTTTCAATTATTATTATTATTATTTATTTATTTTTGTGATTAATTTTCAATTATCATTTTATCTGATAATTAACGTTTCCAAATTTTTAAACTACCCTAAGAAGAAATTTAATGTTTTTGCATCACACATTTGCTTTCCTTTTCGAGTTATATATTGTTGGTTGACTTGAAAAAACCTGTGAGAATCGGTTCAATGTGTTCCTGTGACCCTCCTTATTTTTGTTATGATTTCTCGATGACTTGCGTACTCTGTATCCTTGGGTCATCCAACTTATAGTAATTGTTGTGTCAGAGAATTGCTTTATCGTGGATGGTTCAGAAGGAAACATCAAGTTTATACTGTTCCGGAGGAATTCTTGCAGATGATCAGGTGAGGGCACTGTTGCCATTTTGGGATGGTTATTGGCTGTCAACAAGCATTTGATTTCCTTATGAATGACTTGATTTAATAGCTTTTCTTTTGCAGGGTCTTGGGAAAACAGTTTCAACTATTTCTTTAATACTAAAGGAAAGGCCTCCATTGCTCAAGACGTGCAAAAGTGCACAGAAAAGTGTATTAGAAACCTTGGATTTGGACGATGACCCACTTCCTGAGAATGGTGTAGTGAAGAAGGAATCTAATGCGTGTCAAGATACATCTAACAGAAATGCAATCACAGGTGTGAATTTGTCGGTGCACACAAAGGGCAGGCCATCTGCAGGAACCCTTGTTGTTTGTCCAACTAGTGTCCTGCGACAGTGGGCTGACGAACTGCATAATAAAGTAACCTGCAAAGCAAATCTCTCTGTGCTTGTGTACCATGGAAGTAGTCGAACCAAAGATCCTTATGAACTTGCCAAGTATGATGTTGTTTTGACTACTTATTCAATTGTTAGCATGGAGGTCCCTAAGCAGCCTCTGGTTGACAAAGATGACGGAGAAAAAGAAACTTATGAAGATCAAGCTATGCCGAGTAAGAAAAGGAAATGCCCTCCTAGTTCAAAAAGTGGCAAGAAGAAGAAGGGTTTGGACAGCATGATGCTTGAGGAGTCTGCACGTCCTCTTGCAAAAGTAGCCTGGTTTAGAGTTGTCCTGGATGAGGCCCAAAGTATAAAGAATCACAGAACTCAAGTTGCAAGGGCCTGCTGGGGTCTTCGAGCTAAGCGCAGATGGTGCTTGTCCGGAACTCCAATCCAGAATTCAATTGATGATCTCTACAGTTACTTTAGATTTCTAAGATATGATCCTTATGCCGTGTACACATCATTCTGTTCAACAATCAAGATTCCTATCAGCAGAAATCCATCAAAAGGGTATAGAAAGCTGCAAACTATCTTAAAGACGATCATGTTACGTAGGACAAAAGGTAAGATTTGCATGTGAGAATTTTAGATCACCACATCCGTAACTTAATTATTATCTGAGTTTATTGTTCTCTCTGACAAAATAATCATTTTTCTTGCATTGTTAGCAATTTTAATATCACTTCCTTAGCTATACACTCCCTTCTAAGTGATAGAAATTAAATTTGGTACACGATTTGATGATATATTTTACATTCTTTTTTCTTGCATTGTAGCAATTTTAATATGCAAGAATTCATTCAATTGAATGACTGGCATTAGATTAAAATTTGTTTGTGACCATGCAAGTGTGATCATTTTCTGTAGGCTCACTTCTTGATGGGGAGCCTATTATATCTTTGCCACCTAAATCTGTGGAGTTGAAAAAAGTGGAATTTTCACAGGAGGAACGTGATTTCTATTCCAAGCTAGAGGCTGATTCACGTGCACAGTTTCAGGTACGTTATCTTTACTCCTTTAAAAAGTTGACAGATTAGGATATTCAAAAGCCCTGTTTATTTTCCCAGCAAGATGATTGCTTCCTGTAACTTATTTTATTTGAAACCCTTATTGAGTTTCTGTTTCTGCATGCATGCATGTTATAGGAATACGCCGATGCTGGTACTGTGAAGCAAAACTATGTCAACATTTTATTGATGCTTTTGCGCCTTAGACAAGCCTGCGACCACCCTCAGCTTGTTAAGTGTTACAATTCTACTACTCTCTGGAAATCTTCAGTTGAGACGGCCATGAAGCTTCCTCGGGAAAAACAGCTATTTCTTTTGAAATGTTTAGAGGCTTCCTTGGCTCTCTGTGGTATCTGTAATGTACGTTTGCTTTGCTCGTGCTTATGTATGTATATATATTGATGTTGATGTGACTGCTAGGGTCTATGCATTATCTTTAGTGTGCACGGGTATTTTTTATGTGAAAAAAAGTAACTTTAGAGTGAGAAGGAAAAAATTAAAATGGTTTAAAGTAGTGTTATTCGTTAATTATAAGCTGATCTTGTTTGTCTGTTTATGAGGACTCTTACGCCTTACTTTTGGTGAACTACAAATAACAACCCAAATATCTTTTTCAATTTTTTAACAAAATGGTTGTTGTAGTTACGTACTATTTTAGGGCGAGTGGGTGTAATTGAAAAGATGGAAGAAATTCAGTGGACTTAAAATGAAGGATACCTGTTTTCTGTTTTCCCCTTGGTTTTCAAGATAAACTGGATAGTAGAATGAGAATTTTTTAAGAACCTTTTTCTTTAAAGAAGTTGAAGTTATAGGTAATATTGTAAAGTATATTTTATATTAATACATGATTCTATATTTCATAATTAATGCATCATCTTGATTGACCACATCTCTTGACACAAAGTGTATTTTGGTACATATCTTTTCTGCTATAACATTTGTATCACATGATTCTATGCAGGATGCTCCTGAAGATGCTGTTGTTTCAGTCTGTGGTCATGTTTTCTGTAATCAGTGCATTTCTGAACATCTAACTGGTGAGGACAATCAGTGCCCTGCTACAAACTGCAAAACTCGACTTAACATGTCTTCAGTGTTTCCCAAAGCCACACTGAACAGTTCTTTATCTGACCAGTCTTGTGATCTGTTGCTTGGTTACTCTGGTTCTGAGGTTGAGGATTCTGAACCTTGTTCTCAGACTAAGCCATATAATTCTTCAAAAATAAAAGCTGCACTTGAGGTGTTGCAGTCATTGTCAAAGCCGCAATGCCGGACTTCCCAAGAAAATTGTGTCCCAAGCACTTCTAAAGAAAGTACTGATTGCAGCTCCACATCTGCTGACAGTGGAAAATCTTTTAGTGATGTTCCCATAAAGAAAACTATGTTAATGGAGAAAAGCTCTAATGGTGCAATTGGTTCTCTAGGGGAGAAAGCTATAGTGTTTTCTCAGTGGACGGGGATGCTCGATTTACTTGAAGCGTGTCTTGAGAATTCTTCAATTCAGTATAGAAGACTTGATGGAACAATGTCTGTCGTTGCAAGAGATAAAGCTGTTAAGGATTTTAACACACTCCCTGAGGTTTGTAAAGTCATAGATAATAATATCAATGCTTGAAGTTCTAGATTTTTCATGTCATGAGTATTGTTACTGAGCCAACCTCACATAGAGAAACCTTAGTTGCAGATGATTTTATTTGTGTCTTGAGTAAGTATATGTTTTGGTAAGCTTGATCTGTTGTCTTTCAGGTAACAGTTATGATAATGTCTTTGAAGGCTGCCAGTCTTGGTCTGAACATGGTGGCAGCCTGCCATGTTCTCATGCTCGATCTATGGTGGAATCCTACAACTGAAGATCAAGCCATAGACAGAGCGCATCGAATTGGACAGACTCGTCCGGTTACAGTTTTGCGTCTAACTGTCAAAGATACGGTTGAAGACCGTATTTTAGCTCTGCAGGTATTTTTCTTGGTTCCATTCTATGTAAGCTGCTATTTTCATTGTTGGCATGCTATGGTTGTTGACCCTTGAAGATATGATCTTTGATATATTTGCAGGAAAAGAAGCGAAAGATGGTTGCATCTGCGTTTGGAGAGGATGAAACTGGTGGTCGTCAAAGTCGCCTTACAGTGGATGATTTAAAATACTTGTTCATGATGTGATTAGGCATACATAGAAATATAGTTTTAATTTTTTGAAATGGTAATTTTTTCCATGTGAGCTGGTGTCGTTGTGAAATTTTATAACATGGCCTCTGACACTTTGACATGAAGATTATGTGAATTGTGGTTATAGTTTAGTCTGAGATCATTCATTCTCTTACTTTGGAGTTTTGGTTTAGGTTGGGATATTGTATAGGTCAGAGAGCAGTAGCATAGACAGCAACATAGGAATTATTGTTCTTTGTAAATATTATATAAAATACATCATTTTCTCCCCCTTTCTATTCGTTTGCTCTATTTTTATAGAAGTTTTAGTATGCCATGTTTTGATTATATGATTGTTAGGACTAAGGATTTTAAAGCGAGCTTTGTTCGTAATGAAGCGCAGTTTTATTTTTTTGTTTTAAAATCTCAAAAAATCTTTAATTGGTTGATGTAAATAACTCATGAGTTAAATGTTATATAGTAGCCCGTTAACTTGTTGAATTCTCCAGGTATTATTCTTGTTACAAGCTCAAAGTTTATGTGGTGTAAAACACGAATAACAATGCTTCTTTTTGGACAATATTTACAATGTTATCTCTTTTTTTTTTTAATGTTAATATCAAGCACAGCGGAAAAAAACTCTTAAACCTTGATTTGTTACCATACTTTAATTCGTACTTTGAATTGGCCCATGTAGGTGCTTAGTTACTTAGTTACTATTATGTTGATGATAAGAGGCAGAATTGAAACAAAATCATTTTTGAAACATGGAAGCAGGTGGATGCTTCTCGATCTATCGAAGAACTTAGGCAAATGTTGATCCTCAGAGTTAGGGGGTAAATATTGGTTACAATCTGTATTATTCAATGCAGAAAAACAACCATGTCAATTGATGGTGTTGCCAATCTGTGAAAAATGCTCAAGAGCTCCTGGAGTTACCTGGTGTATTTGATGGGCACTTATATTTTTATGGACAAGAGTGTCACTTATGTGGATGTCATCTAGATGCGGTATTTCGACAGTAATACACTTTTGATGGTAATGTTTTTTGGTCTTTTAGTGCTTGTGTGTCATTTTATTAAATTATTGCATCACCGTTACTAACTAATAATTCGTACGTTTTAACACTTTTTAAGTCTGGATCCTCTAACACTTCTCACACATCTCTGGTTGGATCTACCGACTTATACTAAGGATATGCCGCGTGCATCTGTATTCTCCCCGCTCAAAGGAAACTAGGCGACAAAGTCATTCAGAGTGTATATTGACCTCTTGATAACAGAGGATATACACTTCCATTGTTACGTCGATCACTGTGAGATGATTTCATCTAACGACATAGTCTTATATTTGGGATGATTGGCTTGCGGGTCACGTTTGACGTCTCCTTATCTGTCTGAGCACTTCATACGTCAGTTTGGCTACATGCAGTACATTCTTAGAGATTCTTCTGTGTCTGCTCCTCCCACTGTGAAACGTAGATTCATCTCCAAAATAATCTAATATTTAACAAATAAAGGTGCGTCCGAAGGTAATCTCTGAAAATTGAGGGCCATTTTAAGAATTACATAGTGTTAGATATAATTCAGATTCAATTTCATTTGCATTTCATCTGGCTTTGCATTTGAGTTTAATTTCACTTGGGTGTTAGTATATAAACCTAATGTGAGTTTAATTTGTAATAGAATTCACAAATTTTAATTTTGAGATAGAAGGTAGTTACACTCCCTATTGTCTCTCCTTTTCCATCTTTATCTCCATCTTCAACCTTGTGCACCAACAACTAATATCTAGAGCTCTAGTTAGATTCACAGGGAAATGCAAGTGTACGTAAGGTGTGTGTGATTGATTTCTGCTAATTAAATTCACAATGAATGGAAGATCGAAATTGGAACAAAATCATATTTCTTGATTATGCGAGATTGGGAAACATGAGTGTTGGTGAGCTCTGAGTAAATTTACACAAGAACGAAGATGAACGGAGGAAGCGGTAGCTTGAATACAAGCTTCCAGTATTTGATGGAAAGAACTGGAATCAGTGGATGATTCAGACACGTGTGTTGTTTTGCGTTCAAGATGTTCTTGATCTCGTCAATGATAGTTACACGTCGGTTGTAACAGATGCAACAGAAGCACAGAGAAATGCGCAAAGCGAACCGAGGAAGAAGGATCACAAGGCTTTGTTCTATATCCATAAGTGTGTGGATATAAATGTATTTGATAAGATCGATGATTCAACAATGGCAAAAGCTGTATGAGACACACTGGTCGGTGACACATCAGTGAAGAAGGTGTAACTTCAGAGTCTTCGTAAGCAGTATGAGAATCTCAACATGAAGAACACTGAGAAAGTACCAGATTACATCTCCAGAGTGATTCTGGTCACCAATAATATGAATGCTTGTGGAGAAACGCTCTCTGAAGAAGTTATTATTGAAAAGGTACTCAAATTCCTTACACCTCAGTTTGATTGCATTGTTATAGCAATTGGATATTCTAAGAACCTGAGCACCATGAGAATTGAAGAGATGTAAAGTAGTTTAGAGGCAAAAGAGTTGCGTCTAACTGAGAGAATTTCTGAAAGAGAGGTAGAACAAACTTTGAAAGTGTTTTCTAGTAATAAGAATTAGAGACAGTCTTGGTTAGATGTTAATAAGAGATATGGTGGTTCTCAGAAGTCATAAGCCTCCAACTCTGATGATAAGAAACATTAGAAGGGAAATGGGAAGTGTGACAAGAGAAAGTTTCAGTGTTACAACTATAATAGTTTTGTCATTTTCCTAAGGACTATCTGTCAAACAAGAAAATGAAGTCAGAAGAAGAAAACATATCCAAAAGAGACTCTGATGAAAAATCCGTGCTATTGATGGCTGATAAGTGCTTGATTCATGGTAAAGTATCACATTATAACATAACATTTATCTTACTTACATGACAAGTTTCTTACATAAAAACATCAATTATTGAATAAAAGTGGTTTGTACAATTTTACTTTGGGTTTGGTTTACTTTTGTGCAGGATAAAGCCTTTATACAAAAACCAGGAAACATGACTTCGTTATGCGAAAGTTGCAGCAAACTCACTTCACTTAGTGAACTTCCAGCAAACAAAGAGAGAAGCAAATCACCCAGATTCGCCAACAGTGAGAAGCAGCGCAGGAGAGTTTGCTTAGCGAACTTTGGCGATTTCTGGAAGATAGTTGAAAAAACTTAAGGCTGAAGAAAGGAAATTCGCTAAGCGAGTGTTGTCTTTTGAATTCGACACCCACGATATATTGGTCTTATGGGCCAAAAATAGAGCAAATAAAGCCAAGCTGGAAAATGCTTCGACGGATGGAAAAAACTTAGAGAAAATATATGAGTTACAAATTGGTCTTCGACCAGACATCACCATCAAACCTTCGACTGGAAAGGTCCTGTGACCTTCGACTAGAAGAACAAACCCTTATGTCAGCACCAAAGAAGAAGGATATTTGAATTTGAAGACTGGAGGGAAATGCAGTTCGCCAGCAGTTAAGGGAAAGAGACGTGGCAGGAAGATAGAGGTCGAGGGACATGCATGAGACACTTGTCTTCATCCCAGAGCGATGTAACCCCTCGACAGTTACATAATTTTAGTATAAAAATAGGAAGTTTGTGTAGATTTTCCGGGTGTTCAACCTATTGTGCTAGTTACTCAATATTATTCAAGTACCCACTGTGTGTGAAAGAATAACTGAGAACGTACGTTGAAAACACCACCTTTTTTCAATAAAGTCTTTTACATTGCTTTGATCTTCTCTTTCAAAATTTACGTTTCCTGCATTTTATCTGCATTTCTATTTGCTTTCCCAAAACCCATAAACACCATATCCATTGTCGAACGTGCGTTCTTCCTAGATATTAACTTTTACATCAAACCAACATAAAAGTTAGCATATGTTTTGGGATCAATCTGATCGATCCTGCGAGTAACCAAAAGGACTTTCCTTTTTGGAGGATCAACGATTGTTTACCAAAACCAACGGTAAACAAATTGGCACACTTGGTGGGACGTTGCTAATTTTTATCATCTGTTTGTTCATGTTATTGCTTTCCTTTTATACGTATACAATGTTGCATGTTATTAAGAAGTGGTAGAATAATCACCAACGAGTGTACTGTTAGGAAGAGAAATAACGAAAGTAGAATGGCTAATGATCCAAATCATGGAGAAATACCTCCACCAAATACTACAGGAACAACAGTTATAACTACCGTTGGAGAAAATATCTCAATTTCTGTTGGTTCAGTACCAACGTTAACCATGAATCAAATAGGACCCATACTTTCGTATGTAGGTCCTAGAGGTCCATTAGAAACACCCCCACCAAGGGCAAATCTAGGATCTCGACCGTACGTTCCCCCATGATTTTCGACAGCCTGGATGGGTCGAGAACAACCATATGGCATGCCAACCACTGAAATGGCTAGCCTTATGAATGATGCGTCTACTTTTTCAGAACCTTTGGTGAGTACGTCATCGCCATTACAGGGATATGGAGCCAGTATGGAAAATTTGGGTAGAAACCAACTTTTAGGAGGACCATCACATGCAATACCAAGCCTCATAAATGCTTCTACAACAGTTTTGAGGCAACAAATGGATGAAAGCAACCATGATATGGTGCAAATGCTGGCACAAACTCTAAGTACAGTGCTGAACCCCTTAATACAAAATACTACCCAGTCGAATAAATAAATGACAATGCAAATGACGCGCATGGATGAATTCTTTGGGGTACCCCAAACTATTCGACAACCCCAAAGAATACCAATAAGAGTAAACTAAGGGGTAATCTTGGAAGAAGATTTAATCGTTAATCAAAATCCACAGATCCCTAGAGTAGAAATAGAGCAACCTAGGGTCGAAATACCTGAAATCCCCACCGATCCCTAGAGAAGTCGATCAAGGAGTGATTATGGTGAATAGGAACCAAAATGCTGATGAATTGATACATCAAGTTCGACACCAAAATTATGGAACAAATAATAATC